CAGGATTAAATTTAATCAAAAGTTTTAAAAACAAAATGATCTATACCTTGAATTACATTCTTGACTGGAAGTTTAGCTTGCTTAGTAGCAGACATCAGTCAGCCATAGCTGAATACAGTAGCTGGTGTTAGTAACAATTAGCAAGTAAAACCGCAAAGCCTAAAAAAGAAAATTATCGTAACTATAAAGTCAGTTATAAAAAAGTTTATTACCAAAAAAAAATATTTATAACATTTAAAATAATAAATATAAAAATATTTATTCTTTTTCAAAGTAGGTACTAATTAGAGTTAAGTTTTAATAAAGTTATTATAGAGTCAAAACAAGTCATCAAGGTAAATTCCACATCATATAGTTTAAATGGATGCAAAAGGTGCTATACTCTTTCCTTCAGCAAATTTTCTGGGCTAAAGTCTCTCGCCATTTGGCTAGCAGGGTTTTGCTTGTGGAATAATACATCAAACCAAAATAAAATATCAGTCTGAGTAACAATAAAAAAAAATGACTGTGCATGTCTCTTTAACAAATTTTTTACTTGTTTCATATTATAACTTTAAAAATTTTTTTTTGGTGAGTCTAAGATAGGATGGACATATAAATCTTAAAAGAGGGAGTCAAACCTAAGACCTAACTCTATGTGCGCCACTGGTGTTAATTGTTGATACAACAAAATTACAAAGCAGTTGTATATCTCCTTTTAAGTTTGACTGTGACTAAAATTCTTCGTACTACTACACCAAAAGGATTCCCAGAACTTTGAGGCCTAATTATCAGCAGTACAAAGAATGATTCCAGTGACAAAATTTTCTATACTTCTTACTATACATTTATTTGATAACCTTAAAAATGCTTCCCTTGCAATTAAAATAAAAGAATACAAAGAAAACGTTCCAGAAATATTTTGTATTCTTAATATAATATTGGAGATATTTTCATATCTGCACCTGTTTGAGTCAACTGTAGTCTCCAAGTCGAACTTAGTGGTTCTTGAACTTTGAATCAATTTAAAAAATATAGTGCATGCAGGCAGACTGACATGTGTTTTACCCTTCAAGTTAGCACAATTTTGATACTTTTTTTGTGCAATATTAATATATTTAAGAAACTGGAACATGAAAGCAATCTTGAAAGCGGATAGTATTTAGGATAAGGTTTTAAAGCCTGTAAACAGTTCGGAAAGATAAATGGATATTCCTGTACCATGTGAGAACATGTTATAAAATGCTTAAACATTGAATTTAAAAAATTCATATCTTCACCTCAGCTTTCTAAGAATAAAATTGTAATTACATTTTAACATAAACTTTTGTTTAAAATAAAAAAAGTTACAAAACGTCAATCAAGTTTATATAAATATTTAGTGAATATTGAACTTGAAAATAATAACCTCCAAAAATCGTAAATGAAAGTTGAAAACATGAATTAATTTAAATTTCTGTTAAAGAATGAAAAAAAAAATAATAAACATTTGCACCATGATGTAATCTTCAGTTTTATTATTTTTTTCTCCAAAAAAATTTAATCAGATTGAACAGTAGTACAAGAATATTTAAAAAAAGGTTTAAAAAAACATAAATTAAAAACTACAAAAAGTAAAATTTTAACAAATTGTTTCAGGATTATTAGAAAATTAGATGTAAATAACAAATTTTTCCCACTAATTTCTATCTCTTTCTGTTTATTTGATCATACTGAAGTGATTACTCAGTCTTGAATGGGCTTAACTTATATTCGTCTTAACTTATTATTTCTTAAATTTCTTAAGTTTATTTTGAATATCTTATTATTCAAGTGTCTTTTAATAAATTTCATTCACAACATGATCATTATAATTTTTTCTTGTTACTTTTTTTAGTCCAATCTTCTTACACTCAATACTTTAAAAAATGATTCTTAATATACCAAACTGGCAATTTTAAAATACATCTCCGTCACAATGAGAATTAAGAGGCTTCAAAAAGAACTGTCATGGACGACCAAAACATTCAATTATGTTTACGTAATGTAAGTAAAATATTTTACAAATATATTATCAAAATAATTTGTAAATGTTTCCTTGTGTTATCACTTATGGATACAATTTAATACTTCTTTACTTTCGAAAAACATTAGAAATTTACATAAAAATAATAGAAAGCTCAGTGTCATATGTTCCATTTTGGTAAAATTACTAGAATAAAAAATATATTGCTAGAATGTAAATAAGATATTAACTGTATTTAAACGGTGCGAAATAATGAAATTAAATTATAATAATAAAAAAAAATAAAGAAATGGATACGGATATGTAATACCGAAACTAACCAGAAACCCCTTGACTTGGATCAAGCCTAGATATTTCAATCAATCCGGAAAATGAATTAAAGAACAAAAACATGAGCTGATTAAGTGAAAAATAAAAAAATTATAAGTATTACGCTCATAATATCATAAAAATAAACTTTAAAATAAATATCTAACTTACCTAAATATGAAGACTATATTTACACTTTTACACTTCCAATAACAGTCACAGTGAATATCAATAAAATAGAAACTAAAAGTCTATTTCCATTCAACTAAATAATCGCATCAGCAATAGCTACCGTTCTTACTGTTCAAAATTCACGCTTATCTGATCAACATCTGGAGGAAGAGGAGAACTTGATTGGTGGATTTTACTGACCAGAATATATTTTACAATTAAGGTACTCATCTCGCTTAACACCGATCGGTAATGCGTGAATCACATACAGTGAGAATAGATAAAATATTCCTAATAGTTACCTTATAAAGGGCAATTCACATTTGATACACATTTGATTCGCGTGGGAGTAAAAACATTATTTGCGATTTTTTTCGTGTGTAGTCTGGTTTTCATCAATCTAATTCTCACCCACGTACGACATTTCCTCCTTCTGTTAAGGCAGTCAGAATAGTCCATAAGAAACTCTGATCAGTGGATTAGAGATGTAATTCGCGATCGCAATGGTCGAACACGCCATCTGAGGAGAAGACCGATTCCATGTTTTGACCATCCCCATTCACTATCCTCCTCTTTTCAGTTGTATGGGAATGTACGACCATAATTTCCACTTCCATAATATATTTCGTATTTAATTGTCAAAAATAATTTTTCAAATTTTCACAACCCATTCTTTTAGAACTATGTTCAACACAGTTTTCAGTTCCATATAAAGAGGGGAAGCCATCCCCTCTACAGAGGATCAAAATTGTGATGGCATGACTTCGGATCATCCTCAGGCGTGTTTCTCAGACCATCACCAATAGCCCATTGAGTAGCTCAAGCGCGTAAATATATCACCTACCTACCTCAGTTCCATATATTTTCCTAACATAAAAGCTTTAGGCTATTTGAAACTCAAGGGAAAAACTAACGTACTTCCTTCTTCTATGACAATTTGCAAGCAAATTGTGAACACATACGAAGTAGGTAGGTTGGAACTTTGTTTACGTCGCACAAGAGCTGCATAATGGACTATTGGTGACAATCTGGGAAAAATCCTTGAGGGTGATCCAAAGACTTGCCACCACAATTTTGATCCTCTGCAAAGGGAATGGCTGCCTTGCCTTGGTAGCCCCAATGACCCGTGCTCGAAGTCAAGCACTTTACGGTAGAACAGTTCAACGAGGACCGATGCCGGCTGATCAAAGTGGTCACCCACCAGTTTACTGACAGCAGTCAGGGATGTTTTACTTCGGTGTTCAACTGGGAGCAGTGTCTCTACGATCAGTCCACTGTGAAAAAAAACTTGCAAAGTGTTGCCATGGGTAGAGAGTTCCGCTCTGTGCCTCCTGTAGTCCATTTCGATCTCCAATTGCGTAAGGTGCGTGCATGCAATAGCGAAAGTGCATAAAATATACAAAGGATACTAGTTCTGACACCAATACATTCGTAAGTTTTTCGTTGGAGAAAACTGAAAGCCTGAATGTAATATATATTACATTCTGGCTTTCAGGCTCAGATTTTTCCACGTTGATGATCGGAGGTGCATGAATTGCATACAGGGAGAATGACCAGTGAATACGGTGCCATGAGAATGTCACCGGCTTGAAAAAAAGATCAGGTATGGAATACGAACGAAAATTTGAACGTAAAGTTTTTCACAGGAAAATATAATTTTCCAATCAGGTTCTCATTTGAATATACGAATTTTTCGCCTGCAGTGTGAACGAAGCTCCCTTTACTGTAATTTATTTTCTGCCTAAAGCTCACAATTGATTCAAGCAAGAGAAAAACTAGAAGACAATCAATTTCGCTTCATACCACCTTTCGTTGTTCACTCAGTATTTATTGAAATTTTTTACATATTTTTCTCGAAAGAATTTAAGTTTAAAAGCAATCCCGTTGAGCAAAGAAATACAAAAAAAATTGTTTTTTTTTTAATGATCATCATATCTAAAATAAAATATTAGATTGCTTCCGTTCTTATTTAGTTTCAACTGGAAGAACTTCGTGAATAATTTGTAAACTGTAATGATGAATGCTAGTAAATCTAAGGAATTCACAAAATACAGTTTTTAAAATTATTTTATTCAGTGTTGAAACATAAAATACCTTAAATAATTATTCCATAAAACGCAATTAAATAAATAAAAAAAATCCATTTCCTCACTTATTCACAAAAACAAAATGAGGAACACATAACATATATGTTATGTGTTTCCTGTTATGTGTATATTATAACACATAACATATATGTTTCTTTTTCTTTAAAATTTATAAAATATAAGGCAATAAAAAAGTAAGATAATTATATCCTAACCTTAAGGTTAAATAGCTATTGAAATTATTTTAATTTAAAAATGCTGTTAGTAATAATATCAGCTTTTTTAAAGGTGTTTTTGTTTAAAATACTGAGACCACCCATATCAGAAATATAAAAATTTAAAGTTTAGATTCAAAATGTAAGAAGTTTATAATAATAACATTATGTTTGAAAGCACACAAAGTACATTTAAATTTAAAAAGGTCTATTTCTGTTGCTTATCTTCTCAGATACGTATATGTTTAATAAATAGAATTATAAACATTGTAATCATAATTAATGATTACTCTTATGAAACACAAATGGTAATGTAAACAAGCAAGAAGCTATCAAAAGATAGCCTAAAGAATATTGAAAATATCCTTATATGAATTTACTTATTTTTTTAATTCAAGTAATGAAAATGTAATATCATTTTCTATAATTGAAAATAAATAATATAGGTATCTTTTTCATTTTTATGGCTGGGACGCACGCAACAATAGCACTGGGTGATGAAAATAGCTTCTTAGTTGTTTTGTTTTCAATTGTTTTTTTCTGTTGTGAATATTATCCTCACACTTGGAAGCGAGGAAAAAGGTCTAACCAGTTGCGTAGCAAGTTCTCCTAATTCTCCTTATTCGTTTGTGAGGAGAAAAATCTCAATCATTAACAGTGCGTTAAAAAAAAAAGAAATTTAAAAATGTAATGTTGAGCAAGATTGCAGCAAATCATTTAGTTTTCATTATAAGTTGGTTGGCAATCAGCTTTGCAACGTCATAAAATGAAAATATCAGGTATTGAAAATTAGGTTTTCAAACGTAGAACATATTTTGAAAGAACACAATTTAAAATAACGCTGTAATTTTTTCAAAGAAAGGAAAGATTTCTTCATGCTTGTATAAATAGCGTAGAAAACTACGTAATGGTTTCAAATGAAACTAGCTTACTAGCCCTCACTTTCTTCAGTATCAAGACACACTAGACATGTTAGTGCCAAGATTGTAATTTAGTACATGTTATGTTGTTTGTAAGATTGTATCATTTCAGACATAAGATTTTATCAAAATGATGATTCTTGTTTAAAGTATCGAAATATGTGTATGTCTTCAACAATTGATTAATTTTTAGTTTTACTTAACACTTTTCATCTTCTTTCAAATAATGCTTACATTGTAGTCATACAAGTATCAGAAGCAACAAAGAAAATTATCACATAAATGGAAGAAAACTAAATTGAAAAACGTTGTCATTTTCGTAGCAAGATAATCATCTGAAAAAAATTCCCCTTTTCAAAATTACTCCTAAAAATTTTTTTATTGGTTATTTCTTCTTAATGCTGCTGCATGAATTCGTCTGATGAGAGCATCGGCTTTAGGAATAGATGATTCTCTTGGATCATCTAGATGTCTACGCCTACGTCCAAATGCTCCAGAGATGGATGCGAGAGGTAAAAAGGCTGCGGCTGCAGGAGCAACAAATGGAAGGGATATCATTGCAGCCAAGGCAAGTGGTCCCATTACTCCGAGAACTGATTCCAAACCAGGTAATCCTTTCATCGCTGCAATTCCTTTGAAAGAATAAAAATTTAGTTAGCGTTTATTTTATAATATACAATTGTCCAAAATAAACGTATGGAAACTAGTAATACTAGTTTCTACTAACTACTATTTTACTATTTTACTAGTAAAACTAGTAAAATACTAGTAATATTTTTTATTTCTTTGATTTGAACAATCAAAGAAATAGAAAATATTACTAGTATTTTACAAATCATAATCGTGATCAATCAAAGTGGATGTAAAACTATCAAAATCAGTGCAATTGTTGGATAACACTGAAATGTGAAATGCGTTCGTTTTTCAATTGGCGATCGAAATGGGCTGTAGGTGGAGTAGAGCAGAACTCTCTACCTATAACAACACTTTACATGCCTTCACCATTAAAAATAGTACTAAAAGTAAACAGTGGAGAAAATTTGAAAAATATTTTAAACAACCTGAAAATGAAAAAGTGTTCTGAATAGTGAAAACATCATACAGATTAGAAGAAGAGGACCGGTCCATGACTAATCTCTTTTAGTCTTCGACCAGTGTTTCTGCAGGTGGTGTATTCAAGAAGCATTTACGAATATGCATTTGAGATGGCAAATTTACATAGCTGAACAGAGATATGATGAAGGGCTCCAAGTTTAATTAGGCAAACAAATTAGTTATGGTGTTTTCTGCTCTAAAATATTAGTTTGTGACATCAAATTTGTAATTTTTAACTACGTTTTTAAAAATATTCCAAAAATAATTATTAAGGATTATTATTAATAATTATTATAGACTGAATAATGAAAAGAAAATAGTTTGTTCACAATTTAATAACCTTTGGAGTGTTTTTTTATTACTATCACATGATAATAAATTAAATATTAAACTGAATATCGTGTTGCTCAGACATTTTGTTACACAGTGTTAAAAAAAAATATAATACAAATTTATAAATTTTTCCATTCTATACATTTTCTTGGGTTTAAAATGATAACCTGATCTTAATTTTTATTTCGTTTGTTTTTCTTATTTGAATCAGAGCACCATAAGCAACAGTTCAGTTGGATTTTTTTTAAATAAATTTTTACATAAATTATTACATAACTGACGGGGTATTATTATGTAGGTTTTTTGTTTCAGGAGAAGGGTAGCAATTTTGTGATGATGTCGAAATTATTCTCTTTTTTTGAGTGAGTCAATTCGAATACAAAATTTGGTCTCACTGAACATTTTTAAAAGATCCATGTCTGTGCAAAAAGAAAATTATGAGAACCTAATTTTATTTCATAGTGTCGAAGTAAAAAATCTATGGCTTCTTGTATAATATTAAAATAAATAGTTCATAAATAGCAAATATTATTTTTTAAAAATCACTTACTATTGGTTTGTCTTAGAATTTGTTGCAATGTAGGTCCAACTGATGGTCCTCGCACTTGACTTTCAGTTGTATTGGACGCCATTAGAAAACCAACACTTAAAAACAATAGAGGGAGTGCTAAAACAAGAAATTTTTATTACATACAGTTTACGAAAAGGTTAATTTGAAATCTTATGATCTGACTTTTTTTATTAGTTTTTTCATTTACACGAAAATCATATCAACCTGATAACCGGTTCATACTTTCGATTGGACAGCTATAAAACATGGTATGATTCATTTTTCGTTGTCATTAGCATAAGAATTAATCAATAGGTTATAAAGGTATTATTTTTCTTTTAAGTTTTTCTTTATCCTGAATTTAAAACTTTATTAGAAGCTTTATGTAAAACTGCGTACAGTAATCATAGCATATTGCAATGAAAACAAATCTTTTCCGTTATCACTTACGTAATAAACTTTAAACAACGAAAACTCCTCCGTTTTAGGTGAGTTTTTTAATTTTAAATAGTTTTCTTCAAATTTTTTTATTCTCTTTTATTTGTTATAATGTATATTTTGCCCGTGAAAGTAAGGTGAGACGTGGTAATAGGATATAAAATGAAGACCCGAGTAAAATTGAATATCTTGACAAAAACCTTTTGAAGAATAAAAATTTTTTCATCTCCACGTCGATCGAAAGTGACGTACCTAATGTGTTTCGTTGTAAGAAAATGATTAAAACAGAAATGATTCCCTTCTTTTTAGTCTACGTGAAATCATTATTTTGTTTTCTTACTTTAAATATTTATGTTCAATCAGCTTTTTTAAAGGTGTTTTNTTTTGACTACCACTGTTTTTTAAAAATTTAAGAATATATATTAATATGTAATACTATTGTGGTAGTCCGGGGATATACCAGGAAGCCTTGCTAGTGACAAGACGTGTTTTTCCTAGCTCCGACTCATGTCTCATCTTCGAACAACGCGCGGCGGGAAGGTATCTACCAACCGTCGCCCGTGGCCGTACCGTTATGTTGATGCTATCATAGAAAACAGTGGAATTCCAAAAGATTACTTTCCTGGAATAACCTACTTCTCAGTCGGGGCTCAAATTATGAGTCTTGAAAATAAAAAACTCGATTTGGACACCTACAGAAAAATGAGAGATTTAGCTTTTCCCTACAAAGACGATCCTGATGATTTAAAAAGGAAATATTTTGGTGATCTCTACGGAGCTGCAACCAAAGTAGTAGAGGATAAAGAACGGCAAATCTCTGAACAAGTTACCCCTTCTATCATCATAGACGAACAGATCCCTGATCAAGCTCCTACTATAGACGAACAGATCCCTGAACAAGTTCCTACCATAGACGAACCATCTGCCACCCAAGAGATCGAACAGATTATGGAACAATGTGTAGAGAATCAGGCTCCGTTCGCTGAACCATCACCCGCACCCTTGAAGGAATCGACTAATAGGAGGAAAAAGAAGAAGAAAAAGACAAACAACGTGGAAAAAGACTTCAAAGACCCAGATACTCCCACGACTCATAACAGCAATTCTCCTTCAGACACCTCCACCCAGCCGGGAACCAACATCTCCCCCGCCACCCAGCCGGAGATAAACATCACAGCCCCAAAGGAAACTACGAGAGAGAAAATAGATGAACAGATGGAAACAACTACTGACGAGAAAGCTCAACCAAAGTACATGAAAGTTCTCTTTCGAGGTCTCCCTAAGGACTTTGATCCATCGGAAATTTCTCTAGAATTAGGGAAGTTAAACTTAGAAGTCACAAAAGTGATCCAGTTCCAGAAAAGGGTGGGTGGAGCCATCAGGCTCCTCCCACTTTTCCTAGTTATCCTGCCTACGCTAGCCAATCACAAGAAAGTTTACTACACGGAAGAAATCAAGGGTCACCCGGTTAGTGTAGAGCGCTTCTATGGCGGCCGGCGGCCGCTACAATGTTTCCGATGCCAGGGATTTGGACATTCTCAGCGAACGTGTACAGAAAAACCACGATGCATGAAATGTGCCGGAGGGCATCTTTCGTTTCAGTGCATGAAAAGCCGAGACACCCCAGCCACCTGCTGCAACTGCGGAAAGAGCCACACCTCTAACTTTACTGGGTGCGAGGCCCGCCCCAGTAAAAAGAATTTCCAGACCAGAGTCAAGACTCCTACAGCCACTGCACATCGACTCGTGTCACTTGTGAAAGAATTACAAGATCTCATGAAAAACCAGGAAGTGCTGTCCCTGCTACAAACTCTACTAAAGGGGGTCCCCCCTTCCAACTGATGATCCATGTTACTCCAAGCAACGTCCCACCCCTGCAATGATGTGAACCTGAACTCAAATATTACCCTTCCTGGTGTTATCTAGGACTTTCTAGTTTATGACATCAAAATTTAGATGAATCAGTTAGCGGCGCTTCGCGCCGAATGCTGAGTTTTTTCATATTTCCAACGTTCCAACGTTGTGGTAGTCCGCATAAACTTAAAAATACAGCGTATGTTTCTGCCTTAAATTGTAATTTAAATTCCATTTTACTACCAATGGGGAAATTCAACCTCGAAAGGATTAAAAGTCGGCAGGTATGCACTTTATATTAAACCAAATTAAGTGTCATCAAATACTTTAGTTATTTTGTATTGCAAGAGAGAGAAAGAAATCCAAATCTAGATTTTTCTATTTTCCGACTGAATCAATACACCTCATTTCCCTATTTTTATGGAAAGACGGTAACGATGAGAAAAATGCAGTTTAAACAAGACAGTCTTATCATTCAGATATATCAGACAGATATATCATTCTTAATACAATGTATTCCGTAAAGATTGCCCTTACATATTTTTTTGTAGAATTCTTAACAGAAAGGAAGTAAAAGAAAACGCATAGACATTGTAGGTCGTAAAATAAAACTCAAACAGAAAAAAAGGAAATGTATATCGAAATTTAACGAATAACAATCGAGGCACCTCATTGGAATGCGAGCTCTCTATCTACGAGTCACCACGATATATTTGTATATTTTATAACCGAACCGGGGTTTCTCAAGAGATAGAGCGCTCGCCTTTTAATGAGGTGACCCTGGTTCGATCTAAGAGGATAACTAACAAAGGTTTTCGTGGTTTTGCTCTCCATGTAACGCAAATACGAGTTAATGTCATCAAAAAGTCCTCCATGAGGGCAAACTTCTCACAATACTTGATCCAAGAGTTCCCTTGTCTTCTGGATTGGGTTTAAAATTACAAGGCTACGGAGTTGAACATTAGTAGCCGTAAGCCATAAATTGGGTCGGCTGTTCAGCGATAGTAATCGATATTTTAAAATCGTCGTTGAACAGCCGACCCAATTTTGAGTGAAAACTGTTTAAATAATTTCGAATATGATTTTGAAATAAATTTGCTTCCGTAAACGAGTTTTTTTTAAAAAAATTGTTCTCATATAATATTTACTCACTGTCTAAGCCTAACAGTGTCAGAAAAAAAGATATTAGATGTAAATAGAGACTTTGTTCAAACTAATCAACAGTATATAAATAAATTTGCTTTTATATTATCTATTTTGCGAAAGAATTTGACTGTGTGTGAAGAATGGTTCATATTCTGTTTTCATAAAAATGACGATTTGATTTCAATCTGTTTGATTTTCAGGATCACTAGTTTTGATATATCAATGACATGAAAAATGGGTTCTCCCCGGGAATTATTACATTGTGGAGATGGGTGGAGCATTGTGAAGTTTCAGCGCACAAAATCATCTTTCTTCGAATAAGCTTTAACATATACATTAACCGTTCTGCCCCAGTGGTCTTCATTTGGATGACTTTTCCTTCGATTTTTAAAATAGATGTAGATATTTACATTTTTTTTTAAAGATCCATGATAAAAATTTCAAAGTTTACACAGCTTTTATATCCACTAACAATTTTGATAAGATATATTTTATTCAAAAATAATATTAAAGAAGAAAAACAACACTGATTTTTAATAAACAATCCAAAAACTGAGAATTTTTTTTCTTCCTTTTTAAAAATTTAGAATTAAATGCTTTATCCTATTTGCATATAATTTGACCAATATTGTATGTTTTCGCAACAAAAACTTTTATTCAAGAATAAATATTGACAAACTTTCAATAGAATGTGAATTTTTTAGTTTTTCGTTGAACAATCTGTTGTTTGAATGTATAAAATAATTTACGAAAAATTTTAATTCTCCAACTTATAAAAAAGTGAATGGACAGATTTTCAAACGATAAGGGAAAATATTAAAGAAACATCTAATTGATATTACATAGCAAAAAGCAAACGATTTTAAAATCATGGCAGCTGCCTCTCTTAGCGCAAGCTTTTTTTTCTTTTCCTTTTTTTCTAATTTGGCGACATCTGAAGTGTGCCACAAAAAATCTGCACGATAAATTTTAAACCCCTGAGTCGAAATCAGTCGTTCGCAAAAGAATTTTCACAACATTAAAAATTTTCAATTTGCGTTGAAAATGTTGTTCTAATCCTTTGCGTTCAAATCTATTATTTCTCATAATTTTCTTATTCTTTACAATTTTTACTCAATTGCTTTTTGAATTTTAGTTGAATTGTTAAAAGGAATCTGTATCACTTTAAATTATAATAAATGTCATTGCATTCTTAAAAGAAAAAAATATATAGATGTAAAATAAATTAATGTGAGCAAATTTTTCTTTAAGTCATAATATTTCGAAAAATCAATATTTCCAATCATTAAATCGCCTAAAGAATATTTTTGTGTATGATTATGATGATTACAAATTGTGCAGGAGGATATAGTCTTTTTCTCAGTTGAAATTATATTTGGATCAAGAAAAAGATAACGTGATTTTCAAACAAATTTAATAAGTTTTATGGCATTAAAATGTTAAAAAGGAAGATCATGGTAAAAGATTATTTTTACCATAAAATAAATTTTGTTTGAATTTGCTTAAAAATAAATTTAAAATTTGAAGTAAAATTTTTACTTACATATATGTGCCAGTATGATTTTTTTAGATTATTTATTTAAATAAGTTTTCATTAGCCCTTTCTAATTATGCAACGTCTCTTTTAAGGGGCATCTAATCAAAAAATTTACACCTCCGAAAGCAACAAATTT